AAGTGGCCAAACAAACTGTAAGTGATGCTTACTGTACTAACTAGCTCTGACACATACGCATGTATTCACTGCACTACTCCTCGTCATCTGCTGTCTTCATAATAACAGACATGGCCAACAAATATGTGGTTGGACACCACACGTTAGTCACACATGAATGTGAGTATCCACTGCTATTACAACAATGACTAAAGCCATCCATTGGGCATTGACTCCACTATGATTTAATTGGGTCTGACCCAAAAATGTAAGACGTGTGCTTCTGGACTACTTCATACAGACATGTCTGTCCTGGCGAGCATGGACAAGAGCTCACAATCAGTCCACTGGGCGAAGGCACTGATGTCACCATAACCTCCAGCCCAAGAAGTGACTCAACTACTTGAGGATGAAAGAAAGCGACTGTCACTGCTTAAGAGTCTTTCCTAGTGTTGCCAAGCCATTAAATCATATCATGGAGAATAATGGAGGTTTCCTTAAAGCCAAAGCAGGAAAAACAGTGTTCAGTGTTGAACTTTTGCAGGTGATGAATGATGCACTTTTCATATTAGAAGAAATCTAGGCAGGAATGATGGCTAAGACCATTTTCCAAATGCTCGGATATTCAGATATCCCTTTGTTCTTGTATTTCCTTACACTAACAAATTCCAAAGTGAACCACACTTGTAAATGGGAAAGTAAAGCCCATAACAATTAGCAGTCACATTGTATTAGCATATCTCATTAACAGCTACGTGTCCATGTGTGATTATCTCTGATTGTCTCCCTTCACACAGCCACATGAGACCCTGACAAGAAACACAAGCACCATTTAGCCCATTTCACTCTTTAACTTCCACTTTTAAAGGACTACGCGGACACTGGCGCCTCTGAAAAGACACTGCAGCCAGACACATGACGCTCAATTCTGCATTTGGACACAAAGGAACACACTTGCTTTAGAAAGTTGGCTCTTGTTCTGGAGGCTACACTGCTGTCACAGAGGCACTGAGAGGAATGAGAGAAAGCGGTTCAAATACCTCATTTAAAGTTACCCTGTGAGAGAGCCGTGACGGGGACAACACTCTGCTCTTTCTCACCCCTTTAACTTCTCCCCACCCTTCCTTCCTCCCTCGCCATCTCTCGTGCTGTGTCCACTCGTACAACCACACCGAGGGGTGCTGCACCGGCCAGCTGTCCTCAGCGCAGCGGGAAACTATTCACCCGCCGCCTGAAGAAGTAAAACAGAGACAAGCCGGCGGGCGGGTCGTCGCACCGCCGCTTTAACCGAGGAGATTTCACTAACCTGAAGCGGCGAGGCTCCACCAGACCGCTGCTGTTCGGAGTTCGGAGCTGTAGTAGTGCTCTCTCTATCTCTCTATCTCTCTCTCTCTGTGTGTTTCTCTGTCTTTCGCTCTCCACAGACAGTGCTGCTGTTTTCACTTCCTCCTCCTCCCTCTGCTGCTTAGTTCCTCCGCTCAGAGCAGCGAGGCGCCTCACGGCCAATCAGAGCGCAGAAATCCTGAGCGCTGGCCACGCCCACTCACTCTGAGCTTCAGTAAACCCAGCCTCAATCATACATCTACACAAACACATACCAGCCTCACAAGTACACAAATAAACAGCTACGCATCAGCCTGACATCTACACAACTACACAATAGCCTTACACTTACACAACTATCCAAACACACACCAGCCTCACAAGTACACATCAGCTTTACATTTAGACAACTATACAAATACACATCAGCCTCACAACTACACAAATAAACAACTACACATCAGCCTTACATTTACACAACTATACAAATACACATCAGCCTCACAACTACACAAATAACTACACATCAGGCTTACATCTTGCTTGATTCTACTGCAATGAGTCTGTTATGTGCATCATTGCTGAACATTTGGCACTGCTGTATGCTACTGTATTATCAGTATTGTATTTCTGCATACTAACCATGGACACTTAGCACTCAGTTTTATGTATATTTATGCACATATGGATGAGTGTCTTGTATATATTTGTGGTCTTATTTGCATTATTCTGTTATTATTATTGTCAATTATTGTCATTATTCTACTTATTATTAGTATTATTCTCAGCATTTGTAGCACAGGAAGCATTAAAACTAAATCTTGTTGTACTTGTACAATGACAAATGAGTTTTCTATTCTATTCTATTCAATCCCAATTTGCAGTCAATTACTGTTCACTTACAATTATTATTAATGGAGAATGTCTAAATCAAGCGCTTCCCAGTTTAATGTCAAGTTTTCAATGAACAATTGGCTTAATAATTTACTATTTTGATCATTATGAATTAATAAAACAAAAGAAGCCCTTGATTTCACTGTTTATTCTTTCTTTAAATTTTATGTAACATGATCTCTTTCTCTGTTCACTCTCTTTTTTCCAGCATAGGTTAGATTCAAATACTATATGCTACAGTGTGAGCAGTTATTGGCCCTGAAAGTTAGATGTAATTTCCCACTTACAGTACAGTACGTTTGTACTGTAAAGTACCTATTTACAATATTTCCTTTGCTCAATTAGAAAGAGCAAACACTAGTAAGTGTTCTTTAAGGCAGTCTTTAGTGTCTGTTGGCCTGTAATTCATGAATCCACTCTGATTACAGCCAAATAATCAAACCTAGATTGACGTTAAGTAGTTTTTGTAAAAAAAAAGCATGTTCTAGAAATATCGCAGTAACAGTAACAATCAGAAAAGGCATTTTGCCCACAATTTGTTGTCTTGAACCGCTGTCACCTCCTGCATGAGAAGAACCATACACTTTTCCAGACTCAAAGACCTTTTACTCTTTCTACGTTACATACTTTCTGGAGAGAAGTTGTTTTTGAAATAATTTCTTCCACAACACACATCTCACAGCTTTGCTTGTGCTGAAGGGCCTTCTACAGCTGCACCAATCATTCCAAATGAACTTAAACCCTCGGCTTCAGAACAAAAGTGATTCAATAAGGAGTGTCTGGTCTCACTCTGACTGAAGAACACAGGGGTAGGTGCCAGTTAAGAGGACTCATCTGGGAGACTGATGTCTGAGGCCAGATAAAAGAGCTGCACACACACGAGGTTCTAATGCTGCTGATTTATGTAACGCCTCAGGCCAAATCGCCACAGAGAGCTACCATGGAAAATAAAAAGAGGGAAAGCAGAGGAACCACAGGAGACTAAGCACACTATTACTAGAAGATACACACATACACACATGCTTAAGGTCAGCGATTATAACAGGCCAACAAATTATTCTAAAATGTGTCCCAAGGCCTCAGTTAAATAGGCTGCTTATCATATTCAGTCTGTGCTGGCTTTCTTTTTCTCTCCATACAGCTCATATGTATTTAAATAGCATCTAATTAAGGCAGGACACAGTGAATGTGCTCTGTTAACGTGGAGCACAGAGTTAAACTCAGCATAAAACAGCAGACATACACCCCAGACAGCTATGGGACACAAGATCTCTAAGACAAGCTCAAGATTAAAGACAGATACAGAATGCCGGATTTCTAAGATGAGCGCAAGATTAAAGGAAACATTTTTTTCACCCATCGTATCACCTTACAAGAGGTCCTACATTTGTCTTCTTTTTATTTTTTTCCCACCTCTGATGTCTAATCATAAGGTTTGTGTGGTTTATGCAACAAAAACAGTTGTACTTCATTTTACATGATCATTTTCCAACCTCTCTTTATCTCTCAAGAGTTATATAGGCTCTTTTTGTTACTGTGCCTTGAAGACTGATTTGTGTAAAATAATCTCTCTTCTGATTTGCTGCAATGTAATTTCCCCCATTCAAAAAGAAAGTTCTGAGATGCTCCTTATAACTCCTACATGAGCTTCAATGTGTAGGATCAGATACACAGACATTTGTACATGCATTTGTTTTCATGTCATCACAGACACTGTGAACTCAAAATGGGCTCTTTTTGCAGCTTAGTATCCATATCTCCACTATGCAAACACACACACACACACACACCTTCGAAGCCGCTTCTCCTTCTGGGTCGCACGGGGTTCTGGAACCTATCCCAGCCATCATCGGGAGGAAGGATACACCCTGGACAGGTCACCAGTCCATCGCAGGGCAGACAGACAGACATACATACACAGTCACTCACACACTCATACCTAGGGGCAATTTAGCATCTCCAGTGCATGTCTTTGGACTCTGGGAGGAAACCAGAGTACCTGGAGGAAACCAGAGTACCTGGAGGAAACCCACGCAGACACGGGGAGAACATGCAAACTCCACACAGAAAGGACCCTGGTTGCCCGGCCGGGGAATCGAAACCAGGCGACAGCGCTACCCACCACGCCACCGTGCCGCCCACAAAATTTACTTTTTGATTTTTCTACATCATTTGCCAACAGCAGCTGTCCTTAACATTGTGTCTAAATTTCATGAAGAATGGACCAATAGACAAGCTCCAAAATTATCCAGGGGAAAGAAATCAAATAATATTTTATTAACTTACATTAAAAGTTACATAAAAACCTTTTCTTTGCTGCAAGTTCATTAACACTTGGGCTCAATTTCTGAGCTGCTGAGCTGATATTAAGTCTTTATTTTGGCTAAACTGCTGTTAGTTGTTAGGTGATGTGACTGGTGTGGAGCTGTGTAGAATTGTGTTGGACTAAGTTGTAACCACCGTCCCATATACTGTTGTTGGGGTTGGAGAGTCGGAGCATGTTACGTTGCAGTGCATGCTGGGGACTGTGGTGCAGTGCATTGTGAAACAAGCTAATATTAATAGGAAATTAAAATAATTTTGCAGGCTGGATAGGACTGTGTTGCAGGCCTGATCTGGCCTGCGGGTCTTGTGTTTGACACACAAGCCTTAAGAGTGTGATTTTGTCTCATGACAAACACTGAGCTGTGTGGAAAGTGTTTATGGAGCGGATGAAACTTTGAAGTGCTCTGAAAAGCAAGAAAATAAATTTTGTTAGCAAGTTAGCTTTGAGATATTCCTTTAACCAAAGATCAGACAGAAAGTGAATGAAACACTGAAAATGTGTTTAATAATGTCACTTCAAATGAATGAATGAATAACTTTACAGCAGTACAGCATTAATACACTTTCCGGGCATTTGCATGCTGCTGTCTCACAACCTATGGAACCATTTTATTACAAAGAGTTCCACAATCATTTCACTAACCACTTTACAAAACACATAGGGCTGTCTTCCCGTACATCACGTGTGTCAAGCTCCAGTCCTTGCGGGCCAAAACACTGCAGACTTCATCACGCTGCCTCATTAAATACACCTGATTCAGCTCATCAGCTAATTAGCAAGGCCTTCAAGAACTGAATTCAGAGCATTAGATGAGGGTAAACACTAATCTTCACAGCACTTTGGCCCAGAAGGTCCCCAGTTTGACATGCCTGCCATATATGGATTAGGCCTAGTCTTGGGTTACATTGCAGTGCCAATAACCAATTTTTTTTAGCCTATGCTTTAGCTCAATCTTGTTCCTGGCAACCGTACAAAACATTCAAAAAGAAATCGATGCAATGCTATTACAAAATAAAGCAACATTCAAAACATATCCATTCAATACAGATTCTACTTCATCATCAGGCAAGGACAGTCTTAAGCCTGAGGCACATACATGCTAATATGATCCAGCTATGGGGGGAGCTGATGGAGATGTCACATAAGCAGACCATCCCTGTTGACAGAGGGAATGAAATGCCTGTATGCATTATTAATTAGCTTTAGGGAGCACCCAGCAGGCTAAGGGGGGGAAGGGTCGAGGCAAATTAGAGGTCTAGCAGAGGTCTCTATAGATTCTATAGCTGCTTCTGGAAACACCTCTTCTCATCTCCCAACAAAGACATCAACACTAGCATTCCCCTCTCAGTCTGAGCCATCGTCATGACTCTTCGACTTGTGCTTCTTCTTCTTCTTGCGCTGCTTCTTCTTCTTCTTTTCCTTTTTCTTCTTCTCCTTTTTCTTCTTCTTCTTGTGGGTGTGGTCAGAGGAGGAGGAGGAGGAGCTGGACGTGGAGTCCGAGTCAGACGTGGTGTCCTGCAGGAGCTGCCTCAGCTGCTGGATCCTGTACAGAGGAGACAACATAGGATCAACACATGTCTGTGAGAAAAGATTAGTTTGCCCTCCAAGGGCTGCAAAGAATAGCTGAGAAAGTCAATTAGTCGTTGACAAAGAAAATTATGTCAAAATGACAACTTTATTTCCTGCCCCAACACACCTGATCTAGCTCCTAATCGGATGATGAGTTGGATCAGGAGTGTTGAGTGAAGGAATAACTGAAACTATGCAATGCTGTGGGTCACCAGGAACAGGATTAATGCTACATTTGACTGATAGGAAAGTAGGAATTAGGTCAATTGGAGTGCAGAATTATTTTCAGCCTTTTCAACCACAGGTTCGATATAAAAAGTGTGAAAAACATGGACGCCTCCATGAAAGCAAGTACTGTTAGAACAAGCTAGCCAGATAAAGTTAGCAATATAACATTAATCATAACTTCTCAGACAACATTATGGATTTAACCGACTACTGTGTTGACTGATGTACAGCAAATTCTCTTTTCAAATGAGAGAAGTGGTACAGTTGAGTGGTTTAAATAGGAAGTCATCAAAAAAGTGCAACAGTTCTTGTGGAGTCCTACAAGGTTCAGTTTTATGGCCTTTGCTTTTCTCTTTGTGCATGGTACCGCTAGATAACATCACTACATTGTTTACATCATCTACGTTGATGGCACGCAATTGTACATTTCCATTCCCTCTGAAAACCAAGACTCTGCTCACAGGTGTACTAGTTGTGTATGAAATATTTCTCAGTGGACGCCACAAAATTTTCTACAGGTAGAACAAGAAAAAACTGAAATAATAACTCTTGGATCTAAAATTCCAAGAAAGACTTTAGGCTCTTTTGCTTTGTATACCAAACCTGAAGTACAAACCCTGCGCTGTTTTATCTGGCATGTAAATGCAGTTAATTAAGGAGCTTTTTATTATTTGAAAAATATTACTAACGTTCTGCCTTTTCTGTCTCAGATTGATGCAGAGAAACTTGTTAATGCATTTGTTTCAAGCAGAGCGATTGTAATGCCCTTTTACTGTAAGAAAACAATCCATTCTCTACAACTCAAACAAACTGCATCAGCACAGATCCTAACAAAACCAAAAAGGACAGCCCATATCAACCCTGTTTTGAAAGAACTGCACTGGCTACCTGTATCTAGGATAGATTTCTGTTCTGCTACTAGTTTTTTAAGGCTCTAAGTGACCTTGAAGCACCCGCGTACCTCACAGAATGTCTGTCTGTTTATTTGTAACATGTAATCTTAGATCTGCAGATACCAGCCTTTTGCAGATACCTTCTGTAAAATACAGAGAACATAGAGAGACTCTTTCTGTTATGCTTCTAAACTGTGGAACTCAATTACAACTTTTATTAGACAGGCAAGCTCAGTAAACACTTTTAAGTAACATGAAAACGCATTTTTATTTTAGCGCTTAATTAAAACTATGTTTCTTTTGGTATTTATCCATCTTTACATTTAATCTGTCACTGCTTTATATGATTTTAATTTAATACTTATAGATTCCTCTATTACTGTTAAGCTTTGTCACCTGTCTATAAAGCACTTTGAGCTACCATTTGTATGAAAAATGCTCTATAAATAAACTTACTATTATTACTATGGACTGTGAGCAGCCATGTTAATTTGACATCATACACTGAATTCAAAGAACACTATCTCGACTTTCTGAGTATCTCCATTGTCGTCAGTTTTCATTTTTTTACATAATTTGGAAATGCCAGCTGCCCTTTTCACTGCATCAAAATTTCAAGACAAACTGATCAACAGAAATTTATTTTATCTTTACTTGAACTAAAAACTAAAAGTTTAAACTACAACTTAAAGTTTTTTATCTTCTGTGAAGTTCCTCTTTTGGATATACAAGGTTTTGTTCCAACAGTCCAATGCAGGAGCTGCTCTGCTGCATCTACCACACCAACAAGATCCCCACATTTTGGTATAATGTTATTTTAAATGTAGTTTAGAATGCTATAAAAAAAAAACTCAAAGAATGTGATTCGAGTTGTTCTGATAGTGAATGAACATACAGCCAACTGGTCACATCAATAGACCTGAGCTGAATATATGAGGAGTAAGAAAGTAGTTATCACATTTTCTAAGCCAACCCGTTCAAGTACAGTTTGTGAACGAAGCTACCAAAAATCAATTTGCCATGCTCTCTGAATCAAAACACGAATTAACTTGGATATGCATATGTTGACATCACAAGGTACAAAATACAGCCGACTTCAAAACAGCCTTTCCCATGCAGTCCTAAAACTCTATTAAGAATTTATCAGTGGAGCCTTGTTCTTCAGAGAGTCCATATCCTCTCCTAGAGGCCTGTATCCCTGGGAACAGCACAGCAGCCGCCCCCCGCTCACACACTGCCTCACTCCCATTGATTTGTTTCTCTTCATGCTGAGATGGTTGCATCAGTTCCAAAGCCGCTCAAATCTGTTTTTCAACTCTGGATTTTTAACAAGACTTTTCTTGTTTTCCGACATGCTGCTGAAAATCAGTCAAGTATCTCTGAAGAGCTACATTATTTAAAATCTTTAAGAAGAAATGTATTTTTCACACTGCTTGAGCTTAATAAGTATAAAACCTCAAAGAGATAGGAGGTGATTTGTTAGATTCCTCAATTTCATAATGCCCATAAGCCAAACAATTACAGAAAAAAAAGGCTAAAACAAAACTGTCAAAAATGTAACAGACACCACTCAGCCACCCAGACACTATGCAGCCTGAAAGAGGGTAAAGTAATGCTCCTCTACTGGAGACTAAATTAGAGACTAAAATCAACTCCATGGCCAGCTGAAAGTTTACTACTCCCCCAGCAGTAACTAATTAGCCCTTTATAACAGCAGTAAAACGTCATTACATAGCTGATGATAATTACAGCATGTTGAATAGTTACATAATTGTCTGAGCTACATGCTGTTTTGCTGCCCTGATACAGCAAAATACAGAACAAGCATTTATAAAGTATGTGCAGGAAAGGAAATCTTGTACCACTTTATAATCACATAACTGATTCTTACGCAGGCAGTAACTATTCAAATTGAAGTAAGATTACTTAAAAGGCATAATCTGCATGAACCATAATGGATAATTTCCGTTTAAATGAACAGACCATATCTGACTAACCCCTTCCAACGCACTGTAGTTGAATGTATTTGAATTTGAATGTTTTCTCTCGCCATGTATAGTCTTGTTTTGCAGATTCTGGAATGTGTAATTTGGTGATTTGGACAAAGACATAGAGCTTTGTTGGTTTATAGATTAAAGTGAGACACACTACGCTACTTCTGAATTACTTCAAATAAATTATTGCTCTAATTGCACTTAATGTCCTTGATCACTGTACTCCAAAAACTACCATTAAGTAATCTAATGTCATCTCTAATGTCATGGCATGAAAGACAGAGTAGGGAAATTTACCTTGTCTCTTTTTCATTGCGTTTGTTTTCCCTAATGATGTCATACATTGGGTCTTCATGTGCCTGCAAGCAAATAACTGGTTTAATATTAAAGTAGTTCATGAAAAGTATTTAAAAAGCATGAAAGGTACTATAAATGTTAAACTCTTTATATGCATTTTCCTTTCTTAGTTTCTAAATAATTAATGTGAACTTAGTATGTGCCTAAAGACTGTTATGAGAGCACCCACACACACACATGTGCTGATATAAATAAACCTAATAATGAGGTTTAAAACTTGGAGAAATTAGGTCCAGTTATCTTACAACAGCAACAATACTATACATAAGACCACCATTAAGCAGTACGTGTTTGGACATTAAATGTTGGTAACACTTTGCCAGGACACTCACCACCCTGAACTGTTCCAGTTTCTGGTTTCCTTTGATGAAGAAAGGGCATTCTCGGTCACCAGTCCTGTGGCCATAACGCTTGCATCTCCAGCCTAAAATACACACAAGACCCTTCTAATAGTCTCCTTATTTGAAGGAATCATTAGAGGCACAGAGTTCCCTAAGATTTCAGACAGTACATGACATGATTTGACCTCCTGTCTGCAAAAACAAAATTAAGCAAGGCCCACTTCATTTTTATAGTCCCATTTACTGACTTTTATTGAGTAAATAACAGCTCACACTGAATCCTCCTCACCTCTGAAAATAATTTAAAAACAGGTATAAACTACTGGAATAAAAAACGAGTACTATTTCCTTAGCTTGGTCATCTCTGCTTGAACGACACTAGGTTTAAATGCATGCATTTGGGACAGACTCCTGGGACATGCAGACTCTGCATGTCCTGTACCTGGCAATGTTATAAGTAGTGCTCTTTCTTTTTTTCCTTTTGAAAGGGACAAAATCCTTTTTCGTATACTTTATATTTTACCATGAGGTTCACTTACCACATTTGTGTGTACTTTGCATACCAAAAAGTCATATTTACATGACCATTTCAAGCCTCTCTTTATCCCTTAGAACTAAAACAGGTTATTTTTGTTGCTGTGTCTTTAAGACTGATATATGTGATTGACCTCTGTTCTGACTGATCGTCTCGTATTGTGTTTGATTCAAAAAAGAGTCTGGGCTGAAACAGTACTTATAACTTATATGTGAATGGGCAGAGCTAAACTGCTGTAGGCTGAATAGGTGGGTTTTATGTAAATGCACTGGTTTTTGTGCCATCATGAAAACAGTGAAATCAAAACAGGTTGTTTTGGCACCTTTGTTTCCATATATGGACTGTATACACTGGGAACTAAACAATACATTTTGAACACTGTTTGTGCACCACATAAAGCTCTTATTTTACAAGAAGTGATGAAAATTCATTTTTCCATAAAATGGGCCCTTGAATTCATCACTTGTCTTCTCCACCCATAGCTAAATTCAGATTATAATAATAATGCAGCTCGATGACAAGACAAATAAATAAACAATGTATTTAACTCAACTCTGAAAGTCCTCTTCTCTGGCATGTTGATCAGGCAGCTGCAAACAAACCCATCCATTCTGGTTGGTACTAGCCTGTATGTCAGGGAATTCTGGGTAAAAGGCCACTGCTCAGCACGTGTCAATGAAGACCTTGCCAAAGACCGCAATAAGTGTGCATAAAGTGCTTGTGAGTGCCACTTTGAAAGCTGAAATGGGACACCCTACAGCCTCAGGACCGCAAGTACATTAATTGGGACAAAGCTAAAGAGTCAATTCATAACTGCTTGGACAAAAGTGACACCACCTGGCCTGAAGGTGGTGCTAAGGGACTTCAATTTACTCATCTTGACAAGAAGACAAACTTACCTCATTTACCACTGAGCAGTTGTTTGTATGCCTATTAAACTCTCCCACACTTTGATTTATTGTCCCACCAAAGGGTTCTGTGTTTAAATTTAATCAACGCTGCCAAAAAAAGGAGGAAGGAAGGTTCCTGCTCACTTGTAAACGAGGTACAAATGAGAAACAGTCTCTTTCATCTTAGTTTAGTTTTGTCTTAGTTTTCCAACCTATGCTCACAGCTTATTATACCGCCTCTTCTTTTATCTTAGCAGGGAAATGACAGAGACGTCTGACAGCTTACTTACACTGCATGACTTTCACTTCCTTCCCCAGAGGCATCCATAGCCCTTTGGTGGGCGCATGAGCCAAGAAATTCCTGGCATCCTCATTACCAGGAGCATCAGGAATACAGTCTTCAGGTCTGTATTCTTCTTCCTGCAAAACCAGCCTGCTGAGCATAATATTCAACATCCCCATGACATAAAACTGAGTTAGCTACACACTTAAAAAGATGGTTCTTCAAGAGTTCTTTATTAAAGGCAATGGTTTTATTTAGAACCACGATGTCAAGCACGTAACAATAGAAGAATCCCTTTTGGTCCTATAAAGAACCATATATAAAACATTCTCCATCAATCTAAGGAACCATTTATGCATGCAAATGGTTCTATATAGATTTCATGGTTAGAACCACAGCCTTTACTAAAGAACTCTTGAAGGACCATCTTTTTTAAGTGCAGATGTAATGGGAAAAAAAATAATAAAATAAAAACAACAGACTTTATTATACATAGAAAGCACACGTTCATAATAATTTCAGACAACTACAGACCTTTATAAGTCCAGGGGGAGGATTTTCATAGCTGAAAAGAAAAACAGATGATAAAGATGTGCTCTGTAACGAAACATCACGTTGCTAAATTTTAGAGTTTCTGGATTTAAATATATTAACAGTTAATCTGTGCTGAGAGTGGCTGTTACTGTTACTGACAGTTCCGTAACATCATCCACAAGAGACTTTCAGCAGCGCACAGATAACCAGCTAAGCCCAAAGGGGAAATTATTACCGACATGTAACCTCAGAAAGCCTTTAACCAGTTAATGCAGCCTCCTAACTTACAAAGTCTCCACATGCTTTATCTTCTGCACCTCCTGGCTGAGCTTCGCAGCTTGTTTGTGGTATTTCTCCTCGTCCTGTTTTGAGTCTTTGTGCTTCTTTTTCTCGCGTGTTTCCTCGTGATGCTCTCTGCGCCGCTTTCTGTCTGACATTGCAGTCGGGTTTGTGTGTTTACTGTATGTATAAATGTTCAGTATCGCTGAAATACAGTTTAATGCTTTAACATAAATAAAATACAGATTCCCACAGTTTCAGCTGAGGCGCTGGAAAGTTAATAGCCTGCTATTCGCTTCCGGGTGAATTGGGGTGGCCCTCGTGTGTCACAGTAAGAGTCCTACAGAGGCGCTTCAAAGTCAAAGGGGAATTAACGTTACAACGATTTTTAAAAAAAGGTATTTAGTTAAATCGTTCCGATGTAAATAGTCACTCGGAGCGGTTTGATGTGAAACAGTGAGTTGCAGAAGCAAATTCCGACTCACATTTCTGTATTACGACCCTTGTGATAGGAGCCAGGGGTCACAATGTCTACAACACGAACAGAATAATTTTATTTAATTTGGGATCTTTCTGTTTTACATTAAAGTGGCCTGCATGTACCTCTCCGTCATGAATGGAAAAAAAACGAGCCAAACTTTCCTCAAACTATCGTAAAACAATGTCTCAAGACGCTTTTAGAGGCGTTAAACGATTAGGACGTCTGGTTCCTATCACCACTAATGTAAATCATTCTGGCTAAGTAACTTTCTATAGAATGACTATGTTTACATCTAAACTATTAATTTGTGCAGAAAGTTAGAAAAGCCCCCTTTAAACTAGTGGAAATGGACACAATCCGTACACACAGTCCTGATAGATGGTCTGCAGTTAACATAGGCTGTGTTTAAGATTTTTGCCAATCCGATTGAATACAATCCGATTACAGATTCAGACTGAGGTGTTTATATGCACACTCTATTCAACGATTTGATGGAAAATCTTCGTTTACATGCTCACTACAAGTAATCCGATTCAAAATGACGCGCATACGTGGAGTAGCGTTTAGAGTAAACGTTACCATGACAACGAACATCACGTGAGGTCCAGTCCGCGTGATATGAGTTTCCAGTTGGCGCGCTTGGGTTTTAATTGCTTTAAAATGATGTCAGACGTGCTTCACATGTGCTTATAAAGGAAGCGGCGAGAGGAAGACGTCGTGTTCTGAGACTCATAAGCTGGTCGTCCGTCCCACCGCCGTCTTTTAAAGCTCAGAGCATAAACTTCGTCTCCTCTGCAGACCAGTTTCTGCTCCGCCATGCTGAACGGTATAAACTTTCGCCATGACGCGACGCACATGCGCAGAACATACTTACACGTTCCGATTGGAATGTAATCGGATTCAGGCGTTTACATGGCTATTATTCTTCTATTTAACGGATTATTTAGAAGTTTACCCACCTCGTTCAATCGGATAGAAATTGTATTCCGAATGGCCTCAATCGGACTAGTCTATTCCGATTGAGGTGTTTACATGGACGTGTTCTATTCCGATTGAGCTATTAGTCGGATTATTAACGGATTATCAGGCTGCATGTAAACGTGGCTATAGACACAGAAGACCCAGATACTACTGTAGGCAACTGTGGTGTCTCTGCCCAGAAATACATATAATATAAAATACTTTATTTTACATTAGATACATTTCACATATATTGTTTTATTCTAACATGTAATTCAAATGCTTAAGTGCATTAAGCTAAATACATCTTGGCCATATTCATACATTTTTAAATGTATTTGATAAACGTACTTTACTCCCTTTCCATATGGATGAACTTTCTGATTACAGCTAGTACGTTAATAATTGATCTCCCTCTACATGTATAATGAAATGTTGACACCCTGACAAATACTAGTACATTATTCTGTAGTAAAAACCTAATAAATTTTATTACAGAAACAAATGCCTATTAAAATTATTTTAATATGTAAATAAAATGTAGCCTCTGAAGCCTAGCCTCCAAAATCTAGTTCAAAGCTGCCTTTTAAAGTGGTCGGAGGACACAGCTGCACTGTTATCTCTGATATTGAACACACAACTCATTTCTATTTTCCCCTCATTTATAATGACCAGTGAAAAGAATATGTGATTAATTTGCTTCCACCAACATACTGTAAGTACATTACTGAGCACAAAGAAAACGCCCAAACATTTCCACAAACTTCTCTTGTTTTGCAACTGATTTATTGAAAATACAAAGTGGTAAAGTGAATAAAAATCAATGATTTACCCACAAGATGCATCAGCATGACTTATACAGCAACACATCTTTGGTCTGTGCAATACAGTTGCAGGGCAAAAACAGCCCATCAAATGTAAACAACTGGTGAACCACTAGGAGCCCTTAACTAGTTATCATAACTTGACCTGACCACGTGCATCAAGTAAACAAAAAAAATGTTACAAAGGCATTGATATAAAAAGTAGTAGTGATCTGAAAATAACAGGATCACACATACAAAGGTGTAAACTTAAACAAATCAATGAAAATTTACTGAAACCACAGTGACTTTCCCCCTTAGAGGCCAACAAGCTGACCCAAAGAAGCAAATGCAAACAGGGAGCAGTCAGTTAATATTCTAACAAGAACAAATAGCCTAAACAAAATAGTTTATCTGGTAGATACAGTGTTTTTGGTCTACCAGCCGTACTGAAAACCTTTGTTAAGGCTGAAATGGTCCTTAACTTAATTGGGACAGGAATGATCCCAAGACACTCCAGAGGGAACACATACGGTTTAGGGCGACTAGGCTGGAAATATGAGGGGCCTGGAATTTGTAATTCAGGCTGCAGTTACTTGTCTGGTCCACAAGGTGGCAATGTAGTACATGATGAAGTGACCAGTCTGTCCCTCTCTGCCCCACTCTGAGAGCTGTTCCTAATTCCAGGAGCACCACACAAAGTAGGCCGGAGCCCATCGTTGTGGGGTTTCTGTGACATTGACGACCCTCACAAAGAGGAGAGGAAGTCTTTCAGACCCCCTTTCTTACTCTTCTGGCTATCATCAAGCATCAGGAGCTTCCTAAGGCGAGAGAAAGCGGACTTCTTCCCACTGGCTGACTTTGATGAGCTGCTGGTGTTGGATGATTTTGACCTATAGAGGAAGAGATATTAAAGTAGATAAGTTATATTGGTTGTGTTCTACACAGCAAACTTAGAGATCCACTCAACTCTTCAAAACACCAACAGACTACATATCGGAGTATGTATGTGTATGTAGTATATATACAGTCATATGCAAAGGTTATATATGACAAAAGGTTACTTACACTTTCACTTACTCGTTTTCTAAGTGAAAATAAGTTAACACACCCTCAAAAATGAACAAACTTTTCCTGCACAGTTTAGCATAATTTCTATGTATCTGCTTAGTTTTACATATTAGAAAACAATAAAACACAGAATATAAAATGTACTATGGCCTTTGCACAGGCCACACTTCTTGTTTTATTTTCTCCCCGAATATGTTAAATTCAGCAAATAAACAGTAACTGTGCATTAAAATATGTGGACGTTTGCTCTCATTAAAGCATGTGTGAACTTATTTTCACTTACAAATTCAAGAACATGTCATTTACAAAACATGTCATTTGGGCACGCTGGGTGCCCAAACTTTTGTATATGACTGTATATACACTACTTCTTGAACACTAAACAACTACATATATCAAAGAGACAGATTTAGACCAGTTATAAAGAGCCTATAAACAACAACAATCAGTAACTGCATAAACTGTTTAGTTACAAACAGCTGATTGGATGTGAGCACTTCATGCCATCTTCTTATTTTTCTATTTTTTTTAGAAACTATTAGTATTTATTTCTAGCCATTTTTTTCTACTGTTTCTTCTTAAATAGTTTATTTTAGCCAAATTATAGAAAATATATTGCTTGTTTTTTTAGCCCTTATTAAATGTGCCACTACTGTTTTGTTGGATTGTTTTAACCATTCCAACTTGTATGCAAACATCAGAAAAACTAAATATACTTATAATGTGTTGTAAAAATGTATACAGTTTTGCCATATTGGCCACTCTTCCAATACAGTGACATAACCTTTGCTCTGAGGACAGCACAACATGTAAAGTGGCTTACGCTGGTGTTCTGCCTGGTGTTTTCTCGTGGATCCCAGACTTTGGAGTTGATTTGTTCGCTGACTGAGGTGTCCTGCGCTTGCTCGTACTCGCTGGGGTGCCATAGGTCTTCGAAAAGGAAGCCAGAAAATCCCTGTTTACTCCAACTTGCCTGGATGTCTTATTACAGGCGTGACAGGTGGCCATCTAGTGGAGACGGAAATAAATAAATAAAGCTTTATGGTGGGAATGTATAAAAGGAAGGAAAGCTGGGTGGAAGTTTGTGGTGTTAGGTGCAAGGATCCAAAATCAGCAGCTTTAATGAATCATGCGTTTGGGGTGGCAGCTATGCTGGGATATCTGATCTACAACTGCATACAACAGAGCAGGGGACTTCACAGAGTCATCATGGGGAGTACAACATGTACCTTGTAAGATCACCTCCTGCGTCAACAACTTATATGAACTAGGCTACATCAATGGTTATGTGCTAAGAAGCAAAGCCACTTATTTTCAAAAAACTAAATTAGTTTTACTCTGTTTCAGCACAACTCATCCATACCAAACACTAAGTAAAGACCTACAGTGAAACAGCCACCACAAGGACATAACCTTTTATCTCAAACAGCACAAAGCATGCACAAGCTCCTTTTTCACCACCAGACCGAAACGCTTTCTTCAGCAGAAAGCAACAGGAGGCACACTCTGACTTAAACTGACCAACAATGCAATAACTTCACTTTACAGACCACCTCTTACTCAATCACTTCCCCAGACACATCAAACATAGGCTGCACAGCCTGTATACATATCCATTTATCATTAAACTCACAGTCTCAAAACAGACAAAGCAAGAAGTTTCTTTACAACAGTTAAAACTCACCGAGATAAAAGTAGCCATGCTTGTTGAAAGGAACAGGTGGTGGAGCTGAAACGAGGCTCGATCAGATGGATACAGGTTGTCTGTATACAGACTGCATGCACAATATTATAAAGCAAAGCGGCACAGACACATAGGCATTCGTCCAATCAGCTCACTGGAGGCGGAGACTCTGACTAATTCTGAGTTCTCATTGGTTATCAAAACAAAATGAAGCAAAATAATTCATTTTTATTAATTAAACAAAGCAGTACTGGATCTAAGCACTAGAAGAGACTATAATCAGCACTGTACTACAAAAAGTAATAGGAAGTCAATCTTTTTTATTACCATGTAGGATTTAACCATTTTTTATCAGATCAGCTTGTTCTGGACCGTAATCTAACAATTTTAATCAATAGTCTATACAAGCAAGAGAACTCTTCAATTATTTCTGCATTAACAAATTTGACAAATAATTATTTTTGATATTACTTGAAAAGTCAATTCAATTAACATTTTGTCACATTAAAGGTATAATTATTAATAATTATACCTTTAATGTGTACCTTTAATTATAATTAATAATTTTGGGGGACAACGTAGGAGAGAATGAAACATATCAGTGACTTAAAAGGGTCCTTTACTACCTTTGGCTTAAACACTCTAAAGCTAAAAGCTGAGGGTGCCAACGATGGCAGCAGCGATTATGGATGTGATGACTATAGTGCATAACAGTAAAAGGTGCTCGTAAAAAGATGAGCTCTCCTTATGTAGCTAAAAACATTGGTACAAAACCCCGGACACAGAATATAGCCTCCATCAGAGGCAGAAAGTGCTCCCAAAATATCTTTCTCACCATGACAACAATCTGGCTATAAAACAAACCCATAAAACACACCATGAACCAGTTTATAACAAATACCTTCAGCTTTCTGATCTTAATAGGCTGCAGGAACAGGACATGGGAAGAAACAGAGCATTAAGAGCTTATGCTAATTTATAGTCATACTCCTATTTACCTAATTTCAGCCTTATAACAACTTGTTTCAGGCCAGCTAATAGAGTTCCTCTGTAGTAGGGCCATGTAGTGGGGGGCAATATATCATCTACACTGGTCACACAACAATATTGATTTTTAGTTTTAGTAATATTGATTTATAACAAAAGCATAGTTAACTGTGATGTACAGTCATATGAAAAAGAATAATACCCCTCGTCAAATTACGTTTTGTTGATTTTCTAAGTAAAAATAAGTTAACATTCTTTCTGAATTTTTCTGTTAATTTTAATGTACAATTTCTATATCTGCTGAATTTAACATATTGGGAAAAAACCCAAATATAATATGTGCCATTACTTTTGCCCAGGCCACATTTTGTGCCCCTCCCAGTATTAAATTTAAGTTTATAGATAACTTAATCAATAAATAATAACTTTCTGTCTGATTAATGTATTAAATACTGTGTAAGCTTTGGTGTAATTTTAAGAAAAGCAAAATAGAACAAAACAAGTGATGTCAGGTTTGTAAGATATCGTTTGAGTACCAGTATTCAGGAATGTTGGTAATCAATTTTATTAATGCAGGCTACAATATTGTCTAATATGATATAATTTAGAAATGCTGTGATGTTTTATAAATATCACCCAGCGTCAGGGCCATGAAATGGCTTTTGATGGTGATGTGTACGGAGACCTCTGCAGTGGAGTAACGATGGGAACAGAGCTCACACTAGAAAGAGAAACTCTCCTCTTCCTCAAAGATAATCCTACCATAAATTCCCTTCCAGGATACATATAAACACACCGCCTTGCAACATTATAGTTAACACATTAGTCAAACAGCAGATGTACTGGGATAGCTGAAGTTTTATTTTTCGCCATCACATGCAAGTCTAATTTCCTGCAATCCACAGACATGTATCCTGTGCTATTTAATGCACATGCACGGTCGGGTTACTACAGCAGGAAGAATCTGCGGGTCCTCCGAAGCATGCACATACCACCAAAAACTCAGCGGCTCCAACGAGATTGATGCAATCAGTCAACAGCAGCTGTGTGCACAGAGAGCGGCAGGGAACAGAGAGAGAGAGGGAAGTGAACTGAGACCAGCTGTATTTAGTTTAGTGTTGGGCAGACTACACAGTCATACCTGAAACGTCAGCATGACATGCACATATGTGTCACTTTTTACATGATGTAATGCAGAATGAAGAACAGCTCTCCATAACATTAAAGGTAGTGATTAACCATTTTGGAGAAAATATCTAGTTGTGATTTTTCTGACCAAAATTGCGATTTAAATGTGATCATTTTCTATAAATTAAGCTCCAGTGTCCTCATTTGTATGTACAAATTTGTTCTTAAAATGAGCATCTGTGTAAATTTACTCATAAAATGTGAGATTTAGAATGATATTCAAGTATGTTTATAAATGAAGCCCCAAGCTTTTTGTAAAACAATGCTAGAAAGACAGTATAAATCGATATGCAGCTCTTGCAAGTGCAATATGATTAATTGTTCAGTCCTAATTAAAGACACAAACATTTCACATGAGAAATTTTGAAAAAAAAAGTTCACTTTAATTCGCTACTAGTGGATACAAGTACATGCAAAATGGGTTTGCTGAGGTCTTATGGTCATTTCTGTCCTTCTGGGAGGTGTCAGCTTCTCTTCAGACCCACCAAAGCCCCAGACAGGACTGGCTCCGACTGGAGTGCTTAGCTTTCTACACGCTTCCTGAACACTCTCTCGTACACACATGCACAAAATCAATCCAGCAGATGGGCTCTTTGTTATCTATTAATAGGCCAGGCTCCTAAAATACACTACTAGCCGCAAGCTGGGCTAGGCTGGCTGCTGTGACCTTGGTACTGTGGTTTAGTAGACACAGCTGCCCTTGATACACAAAAGCAGCAAACATGTGGTGTGTGTGTATGAGTGAGTGAGTGTGCACCGTTATCGAAACACTGAGACCCATCTGCTCTCCATGACGATTGATCCCTTTTGCCCAATCTTGGGCAGGCCACTCCAGGGGGAGTGAAAACAGGATCTCACCAACATCAGGAACTGCATACAGACTTGGGGGTGGGGTGGGATACTGTTTTCACTTGGCAATTAGCAGCAATTAGAAGACAGGGCAAATTTAAGGCCAAAGTCATTCACGTGATCCTACTATTGTGTTTATGTACATTGAAGGTTCAAAGAAAAATGCTCTGAGCCATCAGTGTTGTTAGTATAGAAGTAGAAGCATAGAACAGAAAGCCAGATGCATGTCAGGTTAAACACTAAAATCTCTCCAAAGTAGGGACAATATGCAATGTTGAAACAAAAGGAAATACGCTATATTACAGATACAAATACAATATATTTAGCACAGTTTCTACTGTTGGCAGAGCATTTAAGGTCTTTTCACAAGTCCAAGTTCTTCAGACCAAGAAAACAAACAAAAAGCACACACATCAATTTTAAAGTGCACACATCGATGCTAGCATTGTCATCAGAGCTCACGGTTGTTTCTGTAGTTCAGGGCTTCGAGCTGAAGTACATCCTCCCACAAACAGCACTGCTGCAGAGTGTCTGCTCCTGTATGTGTTGGTGGAACTCCCTGTGCTGTTTTATTGAACTTTTTTTTTAACAGAATGAGCTGTTACTAGTGATGGGAGATTTGGATATATGACACTATGATTTTTATGCTTGCTGCAAAATTGGAACAGACAAAAAAACAAAGAAAAAAAATAGTGCCACATTTAAAAGTACTATCAAAACTGTCAATACAAATAAATTTTATTCAGTATTTCACACACTGCACTAAATCCAATTCAAAAGAACTAGTTATGTTGTCTTTGTAATGATGTATGCAGTTTTCCAGCATTCTTTAAGTACTGATGATTTCTACCATACGCCCAGAGAAGTATATTGTAACGTAATTTGTCATGATAATGATAAACATTGTCATATTGCCCAGTCCCAGCTGTTACCCAGTGTCTATGTCTTTGAGTCACACTGAATAAAAGAAAAATGAGGACTTTTAGGCACTATTTGATGGATCTCTTTCATCTTCCTCTTCACTGCCAAAACACTTTACAATGACTAAACATTAAACTATAATTAAGCAAGAAAAAATGTTCTTTCCAATAGCATTTTCTCTGTGTGGCAGAGCACCAGTTGCATTCACTTACGCAGGGCAACTCCCTGCTCTCTGCAGTGTTTGTATAAATAAAGTAAAACGAGGAGCCGCATTTATAAAATATTTGCATGCACAGATTTGATCTTAAAAGGCTGTAGTTGAAAATTCACATTTATGTTGGGATTTATAAGTAAATTTGAAGTGAAAATGTGCATAAAC